TTATTATTGCGGGATTTTTTATTTTTTTACGTGAATTATTTACAGATTTTGAGGGGGTGCACAGATATTATCTTGATTCATTTTTGGTTGTTATTATAAATGTGTTATTTTTATTATTGATTATAAATGTTAAGTATTTTTAGTTTTTATTTTTGTTATTCATTTTCAGTATGCTTCAAGCATTTTAAATGTCAGCTGAAAAGGTCAGCTGGAAAGGATAAATTAAAAGCTAATCTATTATAATCTTCATATATTTCAATCTCTCTTCAAAATAATTTCTCTGGAAATATATTCTTCAAATGTTAATTTATTAACAATTGAAATTAATTTACCATACTCTCATTGGCAGTGTATATAAAATTCGATTTGATAAAAATTGCTGTCTGCTCATAATTAAGTTAGATTTTATTATTTGCTTAGCGCCGTTAACAAAACCCTTTATAGTCAGATTCACAGACTTTATCTATAACATAACGTATACATTAGATTGAGAGTGTGTGTGTGTCCGTATGTGCGTGTGTCTTGTCGTTGATGACTTCAAGGTTGGCTACCGAAAAAAAAAATAAAATCCAAAAAGCTGAACAAATTTCATGACAGTGAAAGTAATAAATAATGAATTGTAAGAGTTTATGCGAGCAATGAGCGAAGCATATGCACATAAGAGACAAGTACACTGACAGAAATATATACACACATTATGAATCTAATTATAAAATTGCATCAAAAGTGAGAGTATCTGAGCTCCGTATTCGTTAGAAATAAACAAAAAAAAAAAATTAAACAATAAATTTTTGTGTACAAAAATATAAAACAAATTTACAACATTTTCTATTTTAAAATTTCAAACAAAATGTATTTAGTATCTTAAAATTTTTTTATTTCTAAAATATTGTTTTCAAAATAACAGTAATTATTATATATCTACATGCAAATTTTATATATGTTTTTTAATTGTTTCTTATATTAAAAAATGAAAATTAAATTTTTTATATTTTTTTATATCACATTTTTAGAAATGATTTATTAAAATTTTTTTTTTATACAAACATTTTTTTTCAATATTTTTTTATATTATTTGATTATTATTATATTATTATTATTAATATTATTTTATTATTTTATATTATTATTATTAATATTATTTTCAATATTATTATTATGTTTCTGTTTTATTTTTATACAAATTAGTTGACTATTTCGCTGAGTGTCTACACACACACAGATGTAGATAACATATTGGGTGTGTGTGTCATTGTGAGAGTGTGCGTGTGTGAGACATATAAGTTTGCGTGCTGTGGCATCGTTGACACGGAACAGCAAATGAAAAGAAGCAGCGCAGCTGGGAAGATGCTCGGAGAAGGGGGCGTAACATAGGAAGGGGGGGCAAACTTCTGCCCACGTTTCGTTCGCCGCTACGCACGTCACATCGGGATTGGGTTGTGCGTGTGTGTGGGGAGAACCTTTTCGCTTTGTTCTTTGGCCCTCAATTTTCGTTTTTTTTTTTCGTCACAGTTGCCACTTGCCACTTGGCACTTGCCGGTGGCTCGTGGAATTGAAATGAACGCGCCGAATTCGCACGCGAAGAAAACTTTAAATTACAATCAGCCACGCCTCCTTTTGGTGCTCCATCCATCTCATTGTACTTGCAAATTTACTTAATGTATACTTTTAGGCGTCTTTATTGGCCGCTAGGCTTCAGCAGGTGTTGCTTGGCTGGCAGCCAGGATCAGTTGGCATATCCTGGTTAGCCGGCGCATTATGCAAACATTGAAACGATTTTTCGGTTTAATTGCACTTTTGTGCTCTTAGCCATCATTTAAAGTTTACTCAAGGACTTAACTTGTTTGCCAGGCACCCTCCGACCCAGTGCCCCGTACACTGGTATAGTTCGAACTTACAAGTTTCGGGATTCCAAAATAACTTTACCGTCCAACTGCTCAATATTCATGTTTTCAAATATGCAAATCAACATTTTCGGCTGCGCATTAAACAAGTTTCCAAAAACTTTTCAGTTCGTCGCTAGAGTGGATTGCGGAGTGCTTCAAAGTTATTAATGTTTGATCAAGTGCGCGTCTTATCAAATTGAATTTAGTTGGCATTGTCTGACTTTGTTGTTGGCCATCATTGTTGGAGCTGGAGCATGAATTATTGAAATAGCTGAAAATTTAATGTTGTCTTTTAACCTTTATTTGACATTCCAAAGTTGAATTGAATTGCTTTAATACTTTTTAAACTGTGATCTGTTAAGTTATGTATAAAAGTTTTTCAACTTGTTTTCAAAGTTCTATTTGGCTTGAATTTCAGCTATCCGTAGTACATTTTTGACCAGTGTATAACAGTTGTTTGTCTGATAATTTTATATTTAGGTTTATTTGTACTTTACAGTGTTTGTGTATAACACTTGCAGTTTTGTATATTTTTTATGTATAACAGTTTTTGTGTATAATAGTTTTTGCTTATAATCGTTGCTGCTTCAAAAGTTTTTGTATCTTATAGTTTTGGTAAACTTTGTGTAGCAGCTTTCGTTTATAACAGTTTGTGTGTATAACAGTTTTTTATATCAAATGTTTTATATATATATTGTTTGTATATAACAGCTTATGTATCAAAACTTTTTCATGTATATCAGTTTGTGTGTATAACAGTTCTCGTGTATAACTGTTTTTGTGTGTAATTTAATTTACTTAAAATGCCTTAGGTATTTTAGTTATTAAAGATATAACTAATTAAAGTTGAGCCCATTTAAGCAGTGTCAAGTACTCTCCAGGTAGCACGGTTCCTTCTATAGCAGCCTTAGCAACACGGCGTATGCGTAATATGTAAAATATAATTTACAATTCAAGCACTGTTTTTTATCACATTTGCGCGTGCTCTGTGATAAGCCAAAAGGTAAACGTAAAGAGCTCCGCTTATCATATTCAATGTTTTATCTAAGCTCCACCTCTGCTCGTTGATTTGCGCTAACTTAAAAGCAAAACCAAAATACGAATAAAAATAAATGTTGTTGTTTAAAACAAAAAATTATTGTAGTTAAATAAGTAAATTAAAGTCCTGAAGGCATTCACGCCAATTAAGTGTTGCCATAGCCTTTGGCATCGGCTTCCGTCGGTGCTTTCAAATGGCAAAATGATGAATGAAGCCACACGCAGACACAATCACTCTCTCTCTCTCTCTCACTCACTCACTCGCTCTCTCTCTCTCTCTCTCTCTCTCTGTCTATCTGTCTTTTGCACACACACAGAGCCTGTTCCACCTTCAGCATCCGTTTTAAATGCCTGCTCGGCATAATAACATAATAGCACATTCCACATATATTCTCTCCCACACATACACACACACACCTCACCCACACACTAGCCGTGATTTGTCTGAATTTTAATTGCGCTGACTTTGATTCCGAATTATCCAGAGACGAGCAGGTGTCGTGGGTCAGCCAGGTCTGCCACCCACAGCCAACCACCCGCGCTTTAATCAGAATTGTACGTCTTCTTATCGCACAGAGGCTCCATATGTTTGTGCTGTTGTTGTTGCCAATGCCCCATAGCTCTCTCCACCTACCAGTCAAACGTTTATATATTTGTATGTCTGTAGGTATATGTGTATTTGTATTTATTTTGTTTTGCTGTCCGCGTCAGCACAATTAAAATTTTGTTAGCTGTAAAATTTCTTAATATTTTTGATGAATTTCGATGACCAACAACAGCGTAAAATGTTGCCAAAATTGGCATAAATATCTATAGATATATATATAGACATATATATATATATATTATGCATGGACTGCTTTAGTACATGTTTTATATATATGCAAAATACAATTTTTAGCTCTCGTTGGAATTTTTAAAAGGCAATAAACAAAGTAATTTTCGACCTAGTTATGCGTATACACTAACTAAGCAATTGGTGTCTAGGTGTCTAGCTAAGGTGTTTATTATCCAATAAATGAAAACAAATAGACGTTTTATATATATTGAAATGAGCATTAAAGCAACAAACCTACAGCATATATATAAATATATATATTTTAGCTATGCTACTTTGTCGAAGAATTTTTAAAAATATTTCTTGTTATTTTTTTTAAATTCTGAGTAATGTTTGTTAATTATGAAAATATTCGAAAAAGCTGTTTCACTATTAAATAAAGTTAATTTTTGTAATAATGAAATAGAAATTTAATTATGTCTTATAAATATTTATTATTAAATTAAATTATTATTAACTATTAAATTATCCTATCTTTATTTATTTAAACTTTGTTGGAAACTGGAAAACTGAAAAAAAAAAATATGTATAATAATTTTTTTATGAATGAAAATACTTCTTAAACATTTATTTAATTATTTGATTTAAAAAATTATAAATGTTTTTTTCAATATTTGTTTTTTTTTTAATATATCTTATCGACGCTGACTGAACTCATTCTCAGTAGGCTGACATTGCACAAAGCCAATTTACTCTTTTCACTTGCTGAACGAGTATAGAAATACATATACATATGAAATGCATTAGTTAACGTATTTATCATCTGCATGGAAAATTAAATACAATTTTTATACACATTTCTTTTTGCCATATTTTAATAAGCTTTTATTAAATGAATGGAATTCTTTTTACTTTATTTGTATCTCAAGAAATGCCTCAGCTAAAGTATTCAAATGTCTGCAGATGAAAAATGTGGAAAACGTTTTATTTTCCTTTCTTTCGGCTTCTTCTTCTTGTAGACGCCTAACAGATTATCTGAAGATTTATTGTTGCTTTTTGCGTCGTTTATGGACATAGAATTTACATTGGCAAAGCTATTAAAAATTTATAATTGCAAAATAATGGGGCAAACGACTTGAAGCAAGTCGAAAAGGCAAAAGTTGTTGGCGGTTAATTTGAAAAGTTAACACCACCAAAAGTTACCACAGCTGCCGCAACACAAATCTCTGTCGCTATATATATAGTTTACTATTTTTGCAGATTTATATATATTAATTTTCTTTCATTTCTCTTTTTAGCACAACATGCAGTAGCTCAGCTGGAAACTGTCAAAGCGAGAAAGAGCGAGAGAGAGAAAGAGAGAGAGAGAGAGTTAAAGAGAGAGCAACTTAACCTGAAAAAATGTCAACTACCTTAGTACAAAAAAAATCAAATAAAAAAACTAAACTAAACAATAATTCGGAGCAGCTGAATAGTAAGCAAACTAGGATAAACGTAGCTGTTGCGGCTGTGGCAACTCCAAAACGTATTGCGACCATATCGCAGATGCTGCAATACGATATTGATAATACGCTTAATACGCTTAAGGAGCAACAGCACCATGCGCTAATGGAACAGACATCAACTATCAGCAGCAAGCAGAGTAAGGTCAACTTAGATCTGGATAATAACGTAGAGATGCCAGCCGAGAGCCAGAGTACAGCTGGCAGCCCCAGCGTCGAGCTGGAGGTCGAAGATATTGTAACTGGCAAATCCTGCTTGGGTGTTGCCAACGGCTTTATGCCGCCCACGCCGCCAGCTACGCCCAATTTGCAGAATACGGCGCAAAAGCGTTGGCGTATCCTGGCCAAAGTGTTGCGCAAGGACTCGGAGGAGACGGTCAGCTCGTCCAGCGATGAGTTTAGCGAGGAGCAAACGGCATCTGTGCGACGCTTTAAGAGCTTCGATCTGCTGCGCCAAGACAGCTTCGAGGATCATGTGAGCCTCAAGTGCTTGGGCAAAACGGAGAATTGGTACAAGTATCGCATGCAGCTGCACAACGATATCGAATACTCTGTAAATATACATCACATGGAACGTCAGCTGACCGCCAACGATCTGATGGGCTTCAACAATACGGGCAACATCTGCGTCTGGCCATCGGAGGAGGCGCTCACGGCGCTTGTATTGTCGGATCTGGGTGCGTATCGTGGCAAGTGGATATTGGAGCTGGGCGGTGGCTTCACCTCGTTGGCGGGTTTGATGCTGGCCAAGTATGCTAAGCCCTATGCGGTGCATCTGACGGACGGGAATGAGGTAAGCGTGGAGAATGTGCGGAAAACAGTTTGCCTGAACGAGCTGAGCTGCTATACCAAATGCTCCGTGCTCAAGTGGCAGGAGGCAACAGCGCGTGCGGCGGCAGAGCAAGCGAAATTTGAGTTCATATTATGCGCGGACTGTCTATTCTTCGATGAGGCCAGATCGGCGCTGGTCGATACCATATGGTATTATTTGGCGCCCCAGGGCGTGGCACTCATCATGGCACCCCGTCGCGGTCGCACGCTGAATGTGTTCCGGGATGAGTGTGTGGCGCGTGGCTTTCGCGTTGACCTTGCCACGCGCTACAACGAGACCATCTGGCAGCGGCATCTCCAGCTCAAGGCTGACTCGGCCCTCTACGACGAGGATCTGCACTATCCACTCCTACTGCGTCTCTGCAAATCACATAGCTAGAGATGAGCGCGCGAACTAGCGTACGGCCGACTGGTTGCAGCTGCCTAAGTAGGTTCAATTAAAGCTTAGTTAATGGTTTAGTTTATAGCAAACAAATTCCAGTTTACACCTAAAACAAACAATTTTTAAATAAATGTTAAAATAAATTTAAAAAACACAAAAAACACCACAAAGAGGTATCGATAGGCCTATGAAAACTATTCCTCCCACAATGCAAAAAAAAAGGCACGTTAAATGCAAAAATTGTAAAATTTTGTTAAGGTTGGTCCCAGAAAAACATTAAAAAATATAATTTTCAATGAAATTTTTTAAATTTAGTTTTTTAAGAAAACAATCTGTTTCTAACTTTATGCTGAATTACAAAGAAAAAATTGAATCTTTAGTATTTCCTAATATTTTTAACATGTGTTTTTAAGGTTCAAGGTATTTTTTATTATTAAATATATTAAAAATGATAAAGAAAAAGAAATAATAAGAATAATTGAACTGTTAAAAAAAATTAAATATACAAATAATAGAAATTATAATTATAATTTCTGTTGCTTTCTAAACTTTTAGTAAAAGAAAACCCAACTATAAATTTTAATTTTTAAAGTAAAAATATATTAAAATTTTCATTAAACTTCAACAAATTAAAAAAAATACATGATTTCAGATTTTTTTCTATATTAATTTTTTTGTAATTATCATTATTCACAACTATTTTTTTTACTTGACTTTTTTAAATTATTTTTATTTAAATGAATCATTTTTTTATATATAAGTTTTTAATTATTAATGAAATACTATTCCAAAAACATATATTTTTCTTTTAAGTTTAATTTTAGAAATTCTGTAACTTAAAAAAATTTTTAATAATTGGAATATATAAAACTAAAACAATTTTCTAATATTTGTGCAACTCTATAAAAAATGATGAAACAACTCATTTCTGTTTGAAGAACCAACCGAATGTAAACCTTAATCTAGCTAAAGCACTGTTAGATTCTTATTAGCAAAATTCCTTTGATATGTAAATTTAATTTGCGGTTATTCCACAAACACAAATACTCTATATTATAGTTGAATCATATATGGTTAGCAACAAACACACACAGACACACACACTCACACAGCTAGACACACAAGTATTATTTAAATATAATTTAAGGCCTTAGGCTGTTTTTGTTAAATACAACGTGAAGAGAACCACAAAATTTCCTTAAACTTAAAACAAAATACGAAATTATAAAGATACTTATATATATATATATATATATATATATATATATATATATATATATAGATATATATACATATGTGTACTATATATACTATATAGCAAAAGTAAACGTTGCCAGCGCTCGACCAATTAATTAATAGTTAATTAAAATTAGTTTATGTAATTATAGAGCATGTGTTAATCGTTATATGATGAATGACTACGATAATGATCACAATGATGATGATGAACTAAATACAAATACAGTATCAAATGCCATACACTCACACGTGTCTTCTTCTTCCCTCTATGTCAACTAATGAATGTGAAATGGTAAGTATGCCACGCCCCCTGTCCAATGAGACGCGCCTTCCTTGCCATGTATATCCCTTTGAGTGCACAAAGTGATGTCAATGATAATTATCGGCAGTCGTTTATTAAAGGGAATTAGCGATTTTTATAGCGCCAGCGGCAGCGGCTAGGTAATTACTTTAATTGTGCCAGCAACTGTGACAGGACCAAAGACCATGGCCGCAGGACATACAGAACGACGTCAGCATTGCTGTTGGGTTCCGTGTTATTTGAGCATTTGATTGTTTTCCCTATCCATATCGTTTTGCTGTGACACTATGTGAAATATTTATACATATCCCTTAGTATATGAGCTTGATTGAGTAGATTGTCAGTTATTGATTGAGCATATGGAGTTTTTATTGCATTTTTTATGAAGCGGCAGGGATATGTTTTCTATTATTAACTAAGAAGCGTTTAGAGTAATATTAAGCAAGTGAAGTATGATATTGTTTTCTATAAATTTAAAAGAAAATAAGTTTTGAGTAAGTGGAAAAAATAAAACTTGAATGAAAAATAATTGAAAAGTTATTCAAATTGTAGTTTACATCTCATAACGATGCATTTTTAGTTGCATAACTTTATGGACTCCTAGATAGCTCCACTATGCATTGTCATTCCAGACATGAAGTCATAAATTTTTATTAATGCTTGACACAAGGCGCAATATATGACATCACATTATTTGTCAAATTGGATCGATTCCAGCAGCAGCTATCCCTGAAACTTAAAAGGATTGTAATGCGGAAGGAATGAAAAGAAATACTTAATAATAATACTTTAAAAAATACTTAAAAAAACTTAATTCCAAAAATTTTTGTTATATTAAAATGGTATATTCATGGGCTCATACAAATAGTTTCTATTGATTGGCTTCAAAAAGTAAGTACCAAATGTTCACTATATTCCACAAAAAGGTTGAAGTTAATCACATTTTATATTCAAAGTAAAATAAAAAATTTATAGAAATTTTTTATAGAGTTTAGCGGGCATCTATCAAATATCTGCACAAATTTAATTCAACTTATTCCAAGCAACTTGCTCAAGAAAATTTAAAAAAAAAATTTTTTAAAATAGGTTTAGTAAATTATTTAAATGCCATTCAAACAAATCCTATCCCATCTGGGTCAACTAATTGTTGCAACACATTAACTTAAGTAGCTTTTAAGTCTCATAACAAATACTACAATTATTTTATAGAGTATGCTTGTAGTCGACGCCCTATGTTGTTCGAGCTGCTTTTGTTTGTTTTGTGTTTTGGTTGCCAGCTAAAAAATCAAAAATAAAAATAAATCTGATAAGCGCAAATTACAAAGTAAACTCAACAACATGCAGGCGCACACTCACACACCCACACGCACACGCGCATACCCTGCACACACACACACATACCAATTGCCATACTTGAAGCAGTTGCTCTGTTTGTGTGTGTGTCATTAACGAGGTCATTGGTAAGTAAACTTGTTTGATGTGCTCGAGACATGTAATCCTGGCTGGCAACCCGAAAGTCAAACAATCGACAGCCGTTGCCTGTGCCAGTGTTTGTGCCTGGAGGCGAGCTGGCAGTGGTGGGCTTGCTGGGCGTTGCGGAAGTTTAGGTTCGTGCGACATTGCGTATACGCGACGCATGTCGGACACGTGGAAGCCATGTCAATTTGGACCAGCTGGGACTGACTGCTAATGACATGCGACTGCTATGCAAATCAGGATACTTGGCGACGACCACTCAATTATACGCCACACATGCGCAACACACACACACACACACATGGCAAGAACTTACTGCTTGGTTACAAGCGAAAGAACAAAATCGTTGCCTACTTTTAGGCACATAGTAAAAACACGCTGCGGTTCCGCTCGTTTGCAACCTTTCAGCGCCGTACATTGTCTTGCGAAGCCATTTTCAGTGGGAGGAGTGGGTGCTGGTTGGCGTTCGGTGGTTGGTCGGGCGTGGCAAGTGATTTGGCAAACACATTTCAATTTGCGCATTGTTTGCCTTTCAGCTTTGCGGCTGTCCTTTGTGTGCCCTAAAACCTCATGGGAAACTTGCCAAAGAGTTTTGTGTCGCCAACAGGTGTTTCAATTGTGTTGCCCGGCCCTCGAAACGTGTTTATTTTTAGTTGAAAGCCTTATTAAATTTTTAATTAGTGAAATTAGAGGGGCAGCTGTGCGTGCGTGTGTTTGTTTGGAACGCGCAGGCATTTGTCTGCCTGGGGATTTGTTATGAAAGCAGTTGAAATGCTTGTGAACTCAGACAGCGCCTAGCTTGACCTGTACGGCGGTCACTGTCCTTTAATGTAGCTCTTAGGATTTGCTAACGTCATATGCCACGGCACAGCTGGGCCATTACCCAACAGCCAAATAGCCATGCCCTTGACATACCTCTAAGAACTTAGGGGAAAAAATAATGCCAAAAAATGGGGTTTATGTCATGCATAAGTGGCAGGTGAGCCCAAACTTATTATCATATAAATAGTTGGCATAATTTATTATGAAACAGGAAATTACATTGCGTGTTAGTAAATTAACAAGTTCTGAATAGGAAAGAAAAGTTATCCGAAATAATATGGAAATTATTTTATACGTGAAGGGAAATCAAGTAAAGCTGCATAAAAGTTGCGATCGTAGATAGCCAATGCAGGTAAGTGGTTGAATTAGCGGTAGCAAATGGACGACTTACAGAGTATGTGTGTGTAGAGTATGTCTCAAGTATGTGCGAGTTGGTATGAGAAGACATTTGTATATATACAAAATTTGGTATTTGATCTTAATTGTTATATAAATTATGAGTTTAGAGGTATTCAAATGTAGATAGGGTTTGCAACAGATCGATTTGCTCAATGAACCTAAAAGAAGTAACTCTAAAATACAGAATTGACATTTATCTAAGTTCGCTCTTTCATTAAAAATCTGCTGACCGTGCTGAAGGGTCAATGTTGTTGACCTACAAAGTTATTCTCGTTGCAGACTATTTCAAATATGCTAGATCAACATATTTCCTACAAAGCAATTTGATACTTCTTACGTTAATGTTATATATATTAAAATTATATATATATTAAAATTATAAAAGAGCCAAATAAAAATGGATTTGACTTTTTTACAACTTTTATATATATTTAAGTTAGTTGAATGTAATTGAATGTCATTTCTTATATAGTAATTATTATTTTTTCAATACAAATTCAATTAGATTTATTATTTGTTATATTATTTTTTTTAATATACAATTTTTTTTATTTCTTTTATAATTTGTTAATCTTATAATTTTTTTAATTATATTAAATTTTTTATTTTAATAATTATTTAAGTACAATTTGAAAATTGAATGTTTATTAATATATTTTTATCTTTATATATATTTATATATGTATATATTATATATTTAACCTAAACTTAAATTATAAAATTTAATAGAATAATGCTAAATTCATTATTTTTCATTCAATACTCGTTAATTGAAGAATTTATTAATTTTTTTTATATGGTTTACAGCGTATAAATTATCAAATGTCTTTATTCAACCATAAAACTAACTTAAGTTCACTTTTGTATGCAAAGTTAAATCAAATTTCCATTTTGTTTTAAGTATAATTTCGTTAAACTAAGTAGCTATAAAAGATCATATCTATAAAAAAAAATGATCCAACTTCAAAAGCCTCCAAATTTGTTTTATACATAAAATATTATTATGTAATCAAAATTTATTATTTTGCCTTATTATAGCATATTGAAAGGCAACAATAGAGCTGTACCTATACTTTATGCGGTAAATTATTGTTATTATTAAAGTGAAATTGTTTATTCGATTATTTTAATTGAGCTCATTCGGTGTTTTTTCGTTATTGTATAAAAGCGGCAAAAATTTATATGAAATGCGCTCATGAATAATGCTAAAAGGCAACAGCAGCAGCTAAATTTGTACGCTATAGAAAACTAATAACAATAATATTGCTGATTAAGCATTAATCAAAGCAGTGCTAGCAACAAAATGAAGCGTTGGGAAAAGAAACAATAGGCTCGAGCCGAAAAAAGATGAAAAGAAAAAATGAAAAGGGAAAGCTAAATACGCATGACTATTCAGCGTTTATCAAAGACTATTAGGCTCCGTGCTAATTATATAGAAAGGTTTTCATTTTAGACTCTAATATGGATTTTTAATTTAGCTCATGTAAAATAAATAAAACAGCGAGTTTTCCCGTACGATAAGCAGCTGCTGATAAGCGCGCTGTCTGTTTAACATTGCTGCTGTTGCTGGCTGCGACGCCCGCGCCGGCAGCGGCGACAGCCGAAAACCGAAAGCATATGGCCAGCGTATGACCAGAGCGATAGTGAGAGAGAGAGAGCGAGTCAGTGAGAGCTTTAGAAAGCTCGCTCATTAAACGCGCGCGGCCTTGGCATTGCGTTGGTTCGCTCACAACAGCTGTTCGAGGCAGCGATTCGTTCAAAGTTCGACTGCAGCCGAGTTGTGAGTCAGTTGTGCGACGCCAGCGAAGGCGTGCGGTTGTCGCTGTTAACGTAACGCATTCATGTGATTTCCGTTATTATTTAAAAATATTATAAAATAAAAACGAATCGTGTGAGCAACAATACTTATTATGAAAAATTTGTTAAATATTTAATGTAGTGTAAATTGTGAAGTGACCAAGTAAAAACTCAACAAAAATATATGTAGCTAATACTACTAAGAAGAAGAATTACGATTTGACACACATTAAATACACCACAGACATACATTTCATAAATCAAGCGAAAATAATGTCAAACAAATCAATGGCATGCAGCAGCAGCAGCTGCAGCATGTTGCTGCTCTTGCTGCTATTGCTGCCGGCAATGCCAAACGCTGCCGCGGCAAAGGCAGCACGACGCGCCCGAATAACAGCCAGCAGCAACAACAATAGCCTCAACGAGCCGTTGACAGAGACCCAACGGGCAACAACAGCAGCCGCAACAAAATTGAAAACATCCACAGACAGCAGCAACAATGCAGACAGCAAATATGGTAAGTCCTATATAAAAAACGAATGAAAAAATGGGAAGATATCCCCCCTACACACACACACACACACACTCGCTCCCTGTAAAGTTGTCTGGCATTTGTGGTCGGCGCGGAGCTGCTGCCTAATTGCATGTGGTCACGATTTGTGAACTTGCAACGTGTGCATTTCTGGCAGCAGCAGCAGCAGCAGCTTGTTTGTAGCATTGCAACATTGCTACAAAAAAGGGCTGCCCTTGGCAGCGAAATTGTTTCACGCTTTAGCAGCAGCGGCAACAGCAGCAAAAATAAAAACAAAAGACTTAGGCAACAAACTTGCGGCTAACGTTAATTTTAGCTATTTTATGCCAATCAAAGCAATGCGCAAACGTTTCCTGTCCAAGCCAGGCAAAGAGGCCGCGAGCCGCCCCAGAACCGCAACGAACAAAAAAAATAAATAAAAAAAAACCGTGCAACGGAAATTGCGGCAGCATTTTTAATGATAAGCTAGCGAGAGCAAAAGTGTCATTAGAGCTGGCTAAAATGTCAGCGTTTAGGCCACAAATAAGCCGATCATTAGCCGAAAAGTCACAATACACTAGCATTACATCACACAACAAGTGGCAGCTCTAACTGCAACGTCATGTGGCATGCCACGACGAGTGAGTGAAAAGTGCTGACTGAGCGGAAAAATCATTAATCAAGCGATTGATTTGCTGATGCTGCAACTGGAACTGCAATCGACAGCGCTCGGCCAGTTTGTCAACAGTTTCTAATCTGTTTTTGGCCAAACTTGACGCGAGTAGAAAATGATGAAGATGTCGTCTGGCTGTTCTATTGGCAGTTCTCTGCAGAATGGTGTCAATGCTTGAATTTTCACTTTTCCATGTCGCCTGCAGCAGATGCTGCGTTTTTGTTCTCTCTTTGTGTGAAATTCGCCTAAATGTTGAATGCTGCAGCAGCAGCAGCAGCACGGAGGCGGCTTGGCGAATCCGAAATTGGTGTCAATGATTTCAACATGGGAAAATCCACAAGCAACTGCAACAGCAACAGCAACAAACAAACATGCAATTGGCAACAAGCAACAAGCAACAACAACATTTCAGCTGCTTAGCTTCGAAAATTGCATTTCTAATTGCACATTATGCAAGGTTCTGGCAATTGGAAATCGGGGAAAACGCACAACTGCAGATGAAAGATATGCCTCAAATGTGTCATTGGCATTGGCCAGACGCACAGGCGAGCTGGAAATTTCTCAAAAGGGGCGTGGTTTCAATTAATGGAGTAATGTGATGAGATGTTTGCTTTAACTAGTTAGTTGACTTAGCCAAGACAGTTGTTATCTTTGACGGCTAATACTTTGATTGACCGCAGAGTTTCCCTGTTTAATGACCATTACAAATATTTCAAGTTTTGTTTAGTCTAATATATGAAGATATCTAATGCTGCAAATAGCATTTGACAGATTGAGTGCAAATATGTTGCTACAGGATACTTGAAAGCTTAAGCAAATTATTCACAATTTAATGTATTTTTTGATAATTATAAAATTGGTAAATATTTAATGGAAATCTGCAAAATTTTAAATATTTTTTAAGTAGATGCATATAAGAATATAAATTAATTTAATCACATTTGCTATTTTTTTTAATTTAATTTATAATTTTTTTGCTGATTTAAAGTAGGAAATCAGGATATAAAAACTGCTAACTAAACAGGTAGAAGCAGACGAGTTAGATTCCAATAAATATAAATATTCTTAATTTGCACGAGGAGCTGAGTCGATCTAGCCACTTCCAACTGTACATCTGTCCATCTGCCTGTTGCCTGTTCCATATGTATACATATATAAATGCCTGGTTCTTACAGCTCTTTTTAACAGTCTTATAATTTTATTAGGAAAAGATTAAAAGCGTTCAAAAATTAAATTATATTTAGTTATATTACAACGGCTTATAATTTTTTCGAGAATTAATTTCATTAAAAATGTTGCTCTATAAAAGTTGATTACTAAATATTTTATTTAGAACTATTTAAAAAAATATTTAATGTTTTTAAAATTAAGTAATTGAAATAATTTCAAATTATAGTTTGTACTATTTTAATTTGTATACAAATTAATACTAAAATATTTTAAAATATTTTCTTAATTATTATTGTTTACAAATTTAATTTTTTAATAAGTGTTTTTTTAAATTTTTTTTTATTATTGTTTACTATTTTATTTTTTTTTAAGTGATTGACTTTAAAAAAATTATTTAAATTTTTTTTTATTTATTTTATTTTTTTACTGAATTTTTTATTTATATATTGCCATTTTGTTACCTTTAACATTTAGAGAATATTTTTCTGAGATTACATATGCAAAACCCTGAAATCTGTTCGACAATCAATCAACCATCTCATGTATTACCATTGAGCTGTAAAACAACTTTTTATCATCTTGTTCAACGAGTTCCATTTGTCTTAAAATTAGCTGCAGTATTTGTTATTTGTTGCGCTTCATTTGCCGCTGCTTGGAGCATCGTTTAAGCCACCGAATGTGATTCGGAATAGCTCACACAGTTGGTTGGCACTGCCATCAGTTAGCTGGACATGCTAATTCCCGGCACACTTCCAGCTAAATCCTCCATCACCTGCGGTGCCACAAAACACGCTCCACACCAAGATCTGATGGCCAGCTACACCACTTAGTGGTGCAATGGCCACAACACACTGAGACAAGTAAAAGAAAAAGCAAAACTAAACCAAAAGCGAGTCGCAGTCGTAGACGATTTTGTTTTATTTTTATTTTTTTTGTTGTTTTGTGAAACAAGTTCTAAAGCGTGGCTGCCTCTGCCTCTTGTCGTTTGCCTCTTTAAGGCCTTTTGCTCTTAACTGATTTGCATGCAAGAAGCGACTTTGAGCTGGGCCCGCGATGAACTGCAGCAAATGCAGTTCGCAGTTGCAGTTGCATCTGTTGCTGCAGCAGCAGAAGCATCGGCAGCAGCAGTAGTAGTTGACTAACCCCATTTTTATATAAGTAGCATTTGTTATTGTATGTATTTGTTTTGTAAACCCCATTTTCTGAAACCTATTTGGGCCTGCAGAGATACGCGGCGTAGCTGGTGAACCAAATTACAAATCGGTGAATCTGACCTGGGAAGTTGAGTTCGTGACGCCGGCCCATGACACAGATACCCATACGAATGCCAATACCAATACAAATACAAATACGAATACAATTACCAATCCGAATGGCATTGTGAATGCGAATGGCGTGACAAATATGAGCGGCATTGTCGAACCACCCAAAGCCTTTCAGATCTTCTACTGTGAAATGCAGAACTATGGACCGCAGCGCTGTCGAGTCAAACTGGTGAATGCCACGGCCGCCGAGCTGCCCACATCTAGCGAGGAATCTGTGGAGTAAGTGCAGCCAACAAACTATTCACTTTTCTTTAACTTTACGCTGCTCATTATACACTGTTCACAAGGCCGAAGAGGGGTGTATAACGTCTCGTCTATCTATGTAAAAGAAAGCTAGAGAGAAATTAAAGTTTTGGGCTATATTTGCATATGAATTTAAATATTTTACAATACAAAACTCAATGAATTTAAAGCTAGTTGAACTACTAAAGATCTGCTGTTTAGGTTCAGTCAAAAATATTGCAGATTCTGTCCGTCTGTTTGTGGGTGTGCAAAAGAAAGCTAGAGATATGGGAACTGGATTTAGTACTTGATTAAGTAGTAAATAAATTTAAAAAAATATTTTAAAAATTATCCAATATATTCCAATCAACTTTTCTTAAGATATATTCAAAAATAAATTCCTTGCTTATTTAATACCCTTTCTTTAGCAACCACCGGCTTTACAAATTACTTTAACATACCCATTAATCTTAAATCTTTATACCAATTCTATAATAAAATAGAAAAGACTAGAAAAAAGATCAAAAATAATTTAATTTCTTTAAGTTCTATAATCTATATATTTTTTAAATTTTTTAAATTTATTTTTGTTTGATTATATATACAAGTAAAAATTGAAGTTCCTAAATATTGTCTCTAGACTTTTTCACGTACTTTCTAAGCTACCTTCTGCTCAATAAACTTCTCAAACCACCCTTCACTAAACATACCTGCCTTAATACACCTCTTTTACTAAATCATATTATCATATCATTTAATTCTCTATATAGCCATAATCATATTCTAAACTTAAACACTCCCATCACCATCAATCAATCAGTCGCCCTTTCACACAGTGAACAGTGTATTGTCGGTCATAGCCGACTTCTAACTAACGCCCTCTCAACTCTTCTGCAGCGCTCAAGTACAGCACTTTGGAGCAGCCGTTGATAATCTGCGCATGGCCACGAGATACAGTTTTCATATACGGCCCGTGCAGCCGCGACGCCTGCGCAGCAGCAGCGGACGTTCCGAATTTCATGGCGAGAATGAAATTGAGGGTGCAAGCGCCGCTGTAGCACATCTTCCTGGCCAGAGCATCATTATACCCACCAAGGGCTGTAAGTTGTTTGTGCCACTTCAACCACACAAAGCATTTTAACACTTCGTCACTTTCAGTCTCGGCCCATGCCACACAGTGTCTGGCGCATGCATCCGAAATCGAGGTAGAAACGGGTCCTTACTTCGGCGGTCGCATTGTGGTCGATGGCGGCGATTGTGGCATCAAGGGCAATGCCAACGATCCAGCCGATAAGTATACGATGCGCATCGATCACAAGCAATGCGGCAGCATGGTGAAACCAGAGACAAACACCGTGGAGACCTTCATTACGGTCCAAGAGAATCTGGGCATCTTTACACACAGCACGCGGCGGTAAGTAGAGAAGGATATTATGATGGTTCTAATGTAATATAGTGGAGTAAAGTCTAATATTTAAAAAATAGGGGATAATATAGTGTGGATTGTCTGCCTGCAACATAGATTCTAGCTTTCTCTTTGGATAACTTCTGTTCTCTGTCCTCACAGACCAACCCAGTTACTTCTCCCATTCCTGTTTGCTCTCAGATCATCATCTGCAAATCACTAACAGTGCCCAGGGGGTCATAGTTTACCGATCGCTTCTTTTTCTCTTTTTTTTTCACTTCAGCTTTGATCTCTTTTATTAATTTTTCTTTTTTAATTTTTATTGTTAGTTTGAATTTTATTTGAAATTATTTTTATTTTAATTATAATTACTTTTTAGATTCTTTAGAACAATTTTCTATTAAGTTTCCATTGACATTATCCTATTGTAATCCAATAATCCTTCTGCCTAGATTTGGCTGCGAGCTAAGGCCAGTTGAATAAATAAAATAGCTCATTCGTCTCCGGATTATTATTCATTCAAGTAACAAACTAAATAAAAATAAAAATTAATAACAATCATTCACTGACTAACTTCATGATATCCTCTATAATATATTATTTAAAAATTATAATAATATGAAAAAAAAAATTTTGTTTTCATTTTAAGAAATAGTTTTTTGTTTTATATGATTTTGATTAGCTTGTACAGCTGCAATCTATATATCAATATATAATTGAGGAAATAGAATATAAAAAATCTACAAAGAAACGTAGGGATCCGGTTAGCTTTTTTTTCAAATTTTTACTTTCACATTTCATTCACTATTTTCCGCTTGTTGAACTAATTTTCTGCACAAAAGTAAAACATTTTTCGGCCTTCATAATGAACTTTGTTGTTGATCTTCTCGTAAAGAGATCAGCAGTAATAAAAAAGATTTCATACACTAGTTCTTGACCTTTCTTTCTACTTTTGTAGGTGAAATCTGTGCTCAAGCCAAGCAAAATAAATAAATTATTAATTTAAATAAGTTCATTTCTCTCTTTCAATCTGCTTTTAACTTCAGTTGAGGTTCAGAATATTGTCAGTGAAAAATGCAATCTCATATTTGATTGGCTTTAGTCTATATATAGTTGATCGATCAGTTATTCTAGCTGTCAGTTGATTAATCGATCTATTAATTATTTTCTTCATTCTACCCACAGCTTTGTCGTCGTCTGCAGCTATCAGTCGGGCATGCAAACTGTGCGCGCCAGCTTCACTGTGCCTGGCAAAAATGCGGGCGTGGCCGCTGCTATTGAGCCCAACGATCCCTTTCAGCCCGACGATGAGCGCTTGGGTCGCGAGCTGCGTCACATGCGCTTTGTGAACAAAAGTGAGCTAGTGTTGAAGGAATCAGAGCAGGAGTCTGTGGAGCAGCCGGCTTTGGTGATAGAAACTCAGCCACCAGAGCCACAACAACAGCAGCAGCAGCAGCAGCAACAGCAGCAACAGCAAAAGCAACCTTTGTTAATAGCCAGCCGATTGCAGGGACGCGCTCTTAGCCTGGCTAGCCTCAATGAGCTGAACAACTTGGCCAAGTCGCCGGACGCAGAGCAGCTGCTGGTCAGCAAGTATGCCAAGCTGGTTGAGGAACGGGCCAATGCGGATGCAAATGATGTTGATGCTAAGGCTGATGATGATGATGATGAGTGTAAGTAGATGCATAAATGGCCAACTCTGACAATCGTGAATTGTATGCCAACCTACTCGCTCTCCCTCTCTCTCTCTCTCTCTTATGCTGTCCAACTGTAGACTATGCCGCCTCGCTGCGTTATATAAGCGCCAATCTAGGCAGCGTGCTGGTAACTGTTTCCATATCTGTGATAATCATCAGCATTTGCCTCGTTCTGCTGCAGCGACAGCGATTGCCCAACAACAGCAACAACAACTGCAGCAGCAGCAGCGGCAGCAGCAGCGGCAACGGCAACAAGTCGCATTCGCATTTGGCTTCCTTCGGTTGCCCCGTTGCCCATCTGCCGCACAAGACGCTGCCCCGTGCTTTGCAGCAGCAGTATCAGTGCACCTTGTAGAGCCCACCTCCCATTCGCCCCTGCTCTAACTATGCTCACTTGTCTTGCTGAAGCCCCCGGGTAGCGCAGCCTAACCCATTTAGCTGAAGACGACTGCGCATAGCTGGGCCAGTGCCTCCTCCAGCAACTCCTCCACCTCCTACTCAGCATGGCAGCTGGAAAGCTTAACAAACGGTACTTACGGGATCAGCAGCAGCAGCAACACAGCCGTTGCCGCAGCATCCCACACGAAGCTCCTCCTCCAGCTCGATGCTGCGTTTAGTGAACCGTAATTTATGGAAATATAAAGAAAAGCTGTAATCTTAGCTCTACTCTAGACTATTCCATAGCTGTGCGAATCCATATGATTACTAGGTATTTACACACTCTGATATACAGCGGATTAGTGCTTAGTATTTTAGACTTAATCTAAGCTAGGTTTTTTGTATAAACTATTTTATATATTTATGATGTCAAATATACGAGTATTTATATAAATATATATATTTTTTAAATAAAATATATACAAATACATGTTTTATTACGTGTGTGCGTATTTGAAATTAAATCAATTATTTTTAATATGCATAAGGCGACATAAGAGACTTATAATAATTATTTCATTTTCAGATAATTTTTTATTTCTATATTATTAAAATTTTATATACAGATTCAAAAAGTGCGACTATATTTTTATTATATTTTTTTAAAGTATTTTTTTATTAAAATTTGCTTTTAATAAAAAATAAATTATTAAAGAATTTGTTTAATTATATTAAATATTTTTTATTTATATTTTATATACATATGGTCCTGGGATGGGAATTAGAAAAACATATAAAATAATAATTTATTCATTTCAAAACGATTTCAAAATATGGTTTTTATCACAAATATTTGATACTTAGTGTCGCTACTATTTTATATTTTTTTTTATTTTTTATTGAGTTATGAAATATTGAAGTATTTGTTAAGAGCTAAAAAATATATATAATATATATATATTTACGGCGATATTATTCTTCAGCAGCCCATTATCTTTAATAGCGCTACTAATGAAAAAGCAAAGCCAATAACAAAATGAAATTCATTTTAAAAATAGCTTAAGTTTTGTCTAAATTATGAAAGTTCAAACTTTTTTAATGCCAAGTAACATTTAATATATATATTCAAAGAGAAGTTCTTTCATGTCTGCTTTTAACTGCTGCTTACCATAATTTTAATTCCAATGAATTGGCTGGGAGCGATCATATATCATCATCATCATTATCATCATTAACATTCACATAATAATCGTAGAGTTAGGCTTAAAAAACAGCGAGTTGCTTACTTTTTAATGATACCATCAAGAATATAGATGTCGTTGCGTTTTATGACAACACCAACAACACGTTACGAAATTATGTTAAGAGTGGGAAAGAAAACAACATCAACAACAACAACAACAACAACAACAACAACGAGCAACGGATAGCGGTAACAGTCAACGAACAATTTGCATGAAAGTGGCACAAAATGTTGTCAACAAAAGTTTTCAGTTTTATTTTTCTGGGTTCTTGAACGGAAGCCGGCAGATAAAACAGCAAATGCAACAGCAACAGCAACAACAAGAATAACAGCGACAATAATAAGAATAATAAACGTTGAGCCCAACCGACAAAACATAAACTTCAACTTCGACTTCAATGACGTCGTTTCTTGATTGCCCAATATGGAGAAATGTTCAAGCAACATTGACTTAAGATCTCCATCCGAAGTTGTGGACAACAGGAAAGTATAGAAGTCTTAGCATAACGAATGTAAAATACACTTTAGAGCATATAATAAATGTAAGTTATATTATATATTATATGGGAGACATATATTTGCTTTTTTACAGATATAAAAATCTAGTTTATGAAAGGAAGAGGAATTACTTGGCCTGGCTTAGATATATTGAAAGAATATTCATGTTATAGGAAGAAAAATTGTTTGATCGCCGATAAACAACTCTATTACAAGTAAAAGATCAGTAAATCGTATTGAACTAAATACTAAGGAAACAAGTTTTAAAAAAGAGATATTTAAAGATAATCAGAAGAAGAATTTCCAAATCGTGCAATAAGCAAATGTATTACAATTAGAACAACTATAAATCATATTAAGCTTCAGATTTAAGAGACAAGTTTTTCTAGTTTAGAAAGAGATATTTAAAGATTAGAAGAACTTGATTTAAAATATCTGAATAATATTGTAGATATTTTCATTCATAGCTTTAAGATTAACATATTAATCTGCTTAGACTAACGAGATTGGGCTGAAAAGTATTCAACCTGAAAAACGTGGCATAAGAAAAAGTAATAATGAATTTCAGTTAGATTCAAATATTTTGTTATTTCAGCAACTGCTCACCAGTAAATCAAAAGATTCATGTGTTAAAGTTAATTAAGAACATATAGTTCATAGCTACAAAACATAACTAGTAATAAATGACTAATGCCCGCTGCTAGGGCATACAAAAACTTTCTGATTGAAGTGTTGTGAAGGAAGGGGAAGTGCTCAAATGGATTTTGCATAGGAAAGCCATTAGGCATTTTTAATCATCATCAAATACTACTACTTTATGCATACACATCTTTATATACTTTATATATACGTATAAATATATGTACAAATTTAGTTATGTGTGTGCATGAAAGGTTTTGTTTAGTCCATTGTTGTTGGTCTGTTATTATTAGAACACAAAAACCAAGTGAGCGTTAAGATCGGACGAACAGAGAGTTGGAAAAACTTTCTCATCTAGCAAAAGGCTGGCTGTCTGACGTCTACAGTGGACGTCACCTTCACCCATTTCAATGCAATCCGCTCAAATTTCACCCACTGTGCTCGCTTGACGTTGATTAGCATGTGGCATACATAAATCTTAGTGTCTTGGTTGGGGCTTCCGTTTCCCTTTTTGTAGAGCACTTCTATTAGATCTGCGTTTGAGATAGCGATTGCGATTGCGATTGCTTTCCATGTTTAGGCGAGCATAACTGTTGCACTTATTAAATAGTGGTAGATGACTTCGTGCTGATCTCAGCTAAGGCATAATGGGGCCAACGATCTTGGCCAGAAGCAGCCAAACAACTTAATGAGACACCAAACAACAAGCCTCAGCCCAAACAGCTGCTGTTGCTCTAGCTGCTGCTGCTGCTGCCGCCAGCTCGTTTTGCTCTTTTGTTGCTGTTAGAATGAAAGTAAAAATATTTGTGAAAGTTTTTTGCTTTTTTTGTGTAAGTGCTGCTTAACTTTAAATTACTTTTTGGGCAAAAAAAAAATAATAATATACGCATCTAAGATCTGCCAGTGCCATGGGATCATTATTCTTGCTTACTCGGATAATTAACATTCATCAGCTTTGGCAATTGAAAGTTACCAAGAAAGTGGAGCCTTTAAAGCTTAAGTAAAAATTACTCATCAATTGCTGGGGAAAGGGTGCTCAGAGTACTCATTAAGCTTGCGAGCAAGTAATCATTGAATCTTACTTTAGCTAAGCTATAAAATCAAGTACTTATAGAACCTTAATTTTACTTATTAGACTTAACTTAATATTAAAGTATTTATAGTACTTGCCACTCATATGAATCATTGATAAAGCGAACAAGTACTCATATCATTCCATATCCTTTTCAGCAACTACTACTTTAAGTAGCTACTGAAACAAGAACTCAAGGACAACTAAGCAAGTATTCATAACACTGAATTGGCCTAACAACAACTAATCATAGTATTCATTAGCCAAGCAAGAAATAAATCCGTGTACTAAGAATGCTTTATAGTTCGTTTCATACTTGTGAAAGTATCATGAGTCATGAACTGCTCAAGCTAGAATATTACTCAAAGTACTCATAGTAGTCATAGTAGTCATAGTAGTCATAGTAGTCATAGTAGTCATAGTAGTCATAGTAGTCATAGTAGTCATAGTAGTCATAGTAGTCATAGTAGTCATAGTAGTCATAGTAGTCATAGTAGTCATAGTAGTCATAGTAGTCATAGTAGTCATAGTAGTCATAGTAGTCATAGTAGTCAATATACCCTCTTTTAGAAACTTCCTCTGCACAGGGTATATTCATAAGGGAAACACACCTAAAAAAGCGTAAACAATTCTCCACGGGTAATTAGTTAAAAAAAAATGAAAATAAAAATTCAAAATAAAAAATGTCTGGTGCGACCAAGCCTCAAAGCTTTGTTTTAAGCTATCCAGCGAATTGGATGTCTAATTATTGCGATTTGTGCCTGAGATTTGAATCTGTGTCAGTTGCATGAACTGGGTTATCGCTGATCGCTGATCTAACTAGCTGATCTAACTAGCTGATAAACAGAGTTATTACAAAAGAACCACAAGCTCAGAATGGAACAGAATACCAAAAATAAGACCACGAACGGGAAAGCAGGTGCCGAGGTAGAGCGAGGGCAGATTCTGGGCTAATGGCAGCGGCGACTGCAACGACGACGGCAACTTTTAATGATTATGATTATGAATTTCGTGTGGTTTCCCCCTAATGGACAGAGATCGGTGTCAACTTTGGGAAATGCGATTGTGAAATAGAGTCGGCCAACTGTATGTTATATGTGTGACATTGTAAATGTGTCAGGGAACCGAAAGCGACATCAAAGTAGAACATAAGCAATTGCCAAGCAGGTAATAAAGTTACGGCACACGTTCAGAAGCAGAAAATGAGCCGAAAGAAAGGATTACAAAAACATTATATGTATATAATCATAATGGTATATGATATAAGCGAATTTGAAAATTTAAATAATATATGGCAACATCTTTCATAGAATATATTATATAAGACTTAATTAAGAAATATATTACAAGATTGAATGGAGAGAAAATTCTAGCATCACTGATGCGAACTCAAGATAATGGTTGAGTATAATGAAGCAAAATGGATAACTGTAAAATGAGAAGAAGAATAGAGGAATCAATGATGATTTGAGTTAATATTCAAAAAAATTTCATAATATAGAATGTTATAAGTAGTTGTGATATAATAATATAATATTAAACATTTGTTAAACTAATATAAAAAAATAGATAGAAAACATAAATCATGAAATCTATTATATTTCAAATCAATGCCAAATATTTTTGCATAATTTATATAGAAAAATAATGAATAGATTCAAAACAGCAAATTGAATAATGGAAAATATTTTTCAAAGTAATAAAAAGAATTAATAAGTTTTGTATTTAAAAAATTGAACTAACAGAAGTTATTTACGGCTGCACAAAAACCATTCAAAAATATTTT